GTGGAGCAGCCCTGGACACTCTGACTTTGGCCTTGTAGCTCCCTGTAGGGAGGGGCAACTCCTGGGACAGGTGACCTTGGCCACAGTTGGAGCTGGGGCAGGTTCTGGATAAGGGGGAGGAAGGGCTCTGAGGGAGTTCACATTCAGTCCCTCAGGGGACAGTCTCAACTTCCAGACGCACTCAGAATTGGCCTCCCTGGTCCCACTGACTCGATTTCCCCATCTGTCCTGAGGCCTGTCTGAYTCTGGCTTCACCAGGACAGGGACTCACCGCGGAACAGCAGGGGCGGAGGCGGGCAGTGCCCAGGGTCTGGGCTCGGGAGGCCTGGGCACAGTCAGGGCCCACTGTTGGCGATTCCCTGTGGGGRCCAAGGTGCTCCCTGCTCCTGCTCGGAGAAAGGCGAAGGAGGTGAGGGTGGGCATGTCTGGGAGGTCCCAGGGCTGGGGCCTGGGCTGCAGGGCCCTGAGGAGGGTGCCCTGGGCCCAGGTCCCTGCCTGGGTGGCCGGAATCGAGGTGTGCCTGCCGCTTGCCCTCACCAGCCTCTCTGGTCCTCTGCACAGCAGGGTTTGCCAGAAGGAAGAGGACCTCCCTGTGGTCTGTGGGGTCTCTGCTCCTGGTGTCTGCCCTCATACTGACCATCGGCCTTGCTGCCACCACCAGGACGGAGAACGTGACCGTGGGAGGCTACTACCCAGGCATCATCGTGAGTCCCGGGTCTGCGGGGAGGCAGAGGGCAGGTCTTGGTGTGTCCGTGGGGGGCAACCGTCCACACCAGCTCCACAGAGAGCTGGAGAGCCTACTGGTACTCTGGCTGGACAGGATGACCCCCAGTGACCTCAATGTCCTACTCTGAGACAAAGGCCAGTCAGGGTTGCTGGTCAGAAGACCTTAAGACAGAGTGCTGTCCTGCACCATCCAGGTGGCCTGGGGGTGACCGCAGGGTCCTCAGGAGAGGAGGGCAGGTGGTGAAGGTGGAGGAGAGCCATAGCCCAGGAGCTGGGAAAGACAGGGGCCTCCCTGGAACCAGGCGGGACCATCTCTGCACCCCAGGTTTCATCCCACATGCCTGGTACCCACCAGCTCCCTGGGAAGACGGGCAAGTGCTTTGAAAGCCTCCTGCCAAGAGGCCAGCACTGAGGGTTCTGTTGGTAATGCCACACTTGGGAACAGGAGAGCCATGTTCTGACGCCACCTGCTGCCCACTGAGACACCCAGAGAGTCACATAGAAGGTCGCAGGCCGCGAGCCAAACACCAGACTCTCCAAGGAACTCCCAGGGTGATTCTGCACCTGCTGATATTGCTGATGACAGTGGCCCCAGGGCCTGCAGCTCTCGTGACCTCGGCTGACTGTGGAGCAGCTGTGGGCCTCAGTYGCCCGGAGCTCTTCCTAAACAAAGCCTCGCCCCAGAGGAGTGCTGGCCAGATTCAGCAAGGCTGGCTCCTGCTTTGGACAGCTGGGTGTGCTCACAGCAGTCGCTGCATGCTCCCTAGCTGCTGATGTAGCCGTTGCCGTTGTACCTGCGTCCCCTGTGCATCAGCATCCCCTGTG